GAAAACTGAAATGTTGGGCAATTTCTAATTTTTCAAATAGAAAAAAACAAAAAATGTTCATGAGAAATTTTGTAAACTTTTTTTTTTTTTCAAATTTCCAGCAAAAAACAATTGGCCTTTTCCAACTAGCTCCAGTTACCCTAATTTACACCAGCCAAGGATCCAGCCAATGGAGTTACTGAGAGATCTGACTGAGTAGCCCAAAGGGACTGCCCCAGGTGGGTTCGTGCAGGTCTGATGGTTTTGCACTGGGTCCTCGCTCCTCCAGTCCATCAGATAATCACTTTGTGTGTTGTTGTTTCATAAACAAATTCTGTAAAGAGCTTAACTGAAAACTTGGAAAATAAATCAAATCAGGATTTTTCTCTTTCCTATTTAATGAGCTGCATAAAGCGATCTGCTGGCTCCGTCCTCTCTTGCTGCGTTTAGAGCTCAGAAGCTCTAGGCAGTGGCTTTGTTCTTTAAATCTGCCACTGAGGCATCATGGCCTATTCCCCCCCTTTCTCTCTCTCTGATGGTGTAACATGATCCAGTGCTTAGGTGCTCTGCTAGTTCTAACCCAGTAGGCAGGGTCAGTGTGTGTGTTCCACATTCCCCTCTGTGCCCAGTCTACAGAGGAGATGAGTCTCTCACGGTCCCAGAGATGGACCCAGACAGTTTAGCTCAACCTATAGGGAACTCCGTTTGTTCCTTGGTGTGAGCCAAGAACCTTGGCTGCCACGCTATTGTCTCTCGTGGCATTAGAGACTGGGTGAGCTAGCACTGAGCAGTGCCCAGGGTTGGGGAGCCGTGGGCCACTCCACCAGTGCCAGTCTCTCTTGCAGTCTGAATGGCTAATCCAATGGCAAGAGTCTAGTTCCAGTGTTCTCTTATGGCAAGAATAAATAACCCACTCCAGTCCCCCTTGTACTATTTGCAGACCTGGGACAGGTGGGTCAAGGCCCCCCCCAAAACTAATGGGGGAGTAACCGCTATGCTCACGCTACAAGGGAGTGTGTGGGACAATGAAGGGGAAAACAGGAACAGGAGTGAGGTCAAAGGTTGAAAGTCAAGGAACCAGATGGGGACACCCTCGGAGAGCACCCACTGCTCCTCAACGGCATGAGGCCGTCCGTGGACACTGCCCAAAGGAACTCTGCCCAGAGGTGTGATTGAACATGGGAATGGAAATAGGTCCCACAGTTGCAAAGCACACCGCACCCCCGCTCCCAGCTTCCTCCTCCTGCAGTGATGGAGGCCATCTTGGCCAGCACCAGGAGGAGGTTGATAAGGAGGTCCCAGTCCCGTGACTTTGTGCATAGATCAGGGAATACAGGGAAAAGTGCAGCCAGCACCTGAATACAAGGTTCCGGAGGAGCCAGAAGAGGGGCTGCCACCTGACACACTTTACTCCAGTTTCCCTTGTCGTGGCAATAGCTGATCCAGCTCTGAGGAGCTTTGGACCAGCACTGCCTTTCCAGTGGTCAATGTGGATCCAGTACTGTGTCAGATCCAGTCTCTCTCTGGCAATGCAGAGAGCCCTGAGTAGCTTCGCCAATTCCATCCTCACTTTGCCATCACAGCTCCTGGTTAATCCAACACTACGCGGGACTGGGCATCACTGCCAGCCCATTGTTGTGATGTAGAAGCAACATTGCTAGACCAAAACTCTCTAGCTCCTCCAGCAGAGACGAGAGCTGGAGCCTTCTGTGTGACTCTGCCATGGAAGGACCCTCTGTTATTCTCCACTAACATGGAGATTAGGCGCCAGATCCAAAGGCTGATTTCATTGGGCTTTGGATCAAGTTTTGGGTCAGCTAGGAAATTGGAGCAGCATATTTTGATTTAGTTGGTGTTGGTCCTGCTTTGAGCAGGGGGTTGGACTAGATGACCTCCTGAGGTCCCTTCCAACCCTGAGATTCTATGATTCTATGATTCATAGAGGAGATGGAATTTATATCATATGAAGCTTCGTGCTTTATCAGGTGAAGGAAGGAATTAGAAACTCAGAGATATTAGGATTTTCAGATTTTGGGGAGAGTTGGAAGAAAAAGGTCAATTACTTTTCATGGGAAACGTTGAAACATTTTTTTATTATAAACATTTTCCTGCCTTTTATTTATTTTTTTTTTAATGAAAAAGCAAAACTGAAAAGGATTTTTTTTTCAGTGTTCAAAACTAGTTTTTGGTTTAAAAAAAATGACTTTTGTAAGCCAAAAATACCCAACAATCTTTACTAGACCAAATAAAAATATTTTTTTTGACTAAAAGAATAAAATTGGGGAGGGAGGTTGGTTAAAAAAAAATTGCCCCCCCGCCCCCAAATGGTTTTGAGGGTTTTTTGACCTAAATGAAAAATGTCTGCAAACTTTTTATTTTGGACCTGAAGTCATATTTTTTCATTCACAAATATTTTGATTAAAAAAAGTGTCAACCAGCTCTGATTTGTAAACTTTCAGACCAAATGGGGAAACTGGTTGGGGAAAACAAGGAAGAATTAACACTGGGCTTTTCCCTTTACAGGAAAACCTCTTTAGACAGAGCCTCTGCTGGCATAAACTGGAAGTGGACCAGCTGAGGATCTAACCTGTTCTCTTTTAAACTGCACAAGTCAATTGTAGAGGGTTGAGTGGGCTCTGAACAGGAAGTTTCAGTGCGTTACAGGTCTGTCGCATCTTACGCGCATTTAACATGCGCGAATTCAGCTTTACGCGGTCTGCAAAAACAAAAACAAAACAAACAAAAAAGAGAAATAACAGTATTTAAATTGTTCCTGTAGTGCGGGCGATTCCGCCCGCCATTACACTCAATGTAATTTTGACTATACGCGGTTTTTGCTTTACACGCTGACCGCGGAACGTAACCCCAGCGTAAGATGAGAGAGACCTGTACAATGGACTCTTGAGTTATCTTTTATAAAATCATGATTGCGGATTGATTATATGGTTCCTTTTGCAAGCACAAGGGGCTTTACAAAGGTATGAATTCTGTGCATATAGGGGTAACTTGCCATCACCCTCAGCTGAAATGCCACCACCTCTGGAATGGGATGTGGCAGTAGAATAGCTTGAGCAACACTCCAAGGGTGCTCTAAAACTGAAAGTGGGAGAGATTACTGTAACCAGCTGGAGCAACTGGGAAATGTAAGTGGATGGGATGCAATTACCCACATTAGCTGGGACCGTGGCACTGGCATCCCTTCTCTGGTGAAAACCTTCATGGGATCTTTCATGATGACATGTGGTCAGGACATCTCACCCAACAGAGCACAGTATCCCCTAACACCATGCTGGGGCACTGGTTCACTAACAAGTCCAAGCAAAGTGCACCCACCCTACTGGATCACCAATACTATT